CGTTCGTGATCCGGCCTGCGCGGAGGCCTGTCCCTCGCCCTGCCAGCGGGAGCCCAGCCGCTGCGTGAGGGGGAAGTACAGAAATAAATTAACAAATACCCCAAATGGCTTCTCCCTGCTTCCCCATTTAGCGCTGAGGGAGGCAAATGGCTGGCAGCTGCCAGAAGGAGCGCAACTCCCCCCACCCTCACAATCACCCATGGGACCAGAAGGGAGAATGTCTTAAAGAAGGAGGTTTCTGGGGAAGAGCAGCAAATACAAATATTTCAGATGGTTGAAAGGAAAAATAGTGGCAAGGTCACCCCAGCCTGGGGCAGACAGCAAGGGGAGAGGGGAGAGGGGGGGGGACACCAGACCCCCGGGTGGCTGCAGGGGGGTTTTGGGGAACAGGAGCCACCTGCCCCGCCCCAGGCATCGTCAGCTCTTCTTCCCGCCAGTGCCTGGGGCCCACCCAGAGACAGCTCCAAAACTTCGGGACACCTCTCGCTGGGGACTGCAAGACACCCTGGGCACCTTCCCCGGGGGGGCAAAAGCAGGGACCCTTTGCATGGACGCCCAGGGCTTTCTGGCTGTCCAAACCTGGCACAAGCCCCAGGGCCGAGCAGGTGCCACAAAACTGCGTCGATTCCCTCCTCCTCCCTGGAAAAACATGAGATGGGAGAAGGATTTACATTAAGCCAGGGATTATAGTAATAGCAGCCTTGGTGATCTGTCAGAGGAGACGGGGAACAAGAGAAGCATAGGGGTTTGAGGAGGGGGCAGCAGGGCGAGGGCCCGAGGGTGCAGGGTGTTGGCAGTCTGGGACCAGGGGAGCCTGGGGAATATGGGGGTGCTCCTTGGGCATGTATTTGGGGCACCAATGTATGCGCCAGGGCCAGAAGCGCAGGGTGCTGCTGGTACAAGTGGCAGACCCAGCCTGCACCACTGGCTGGGGCTTGCTGCAAACCAGTCCGGGTCCCCGCACCAGGCCTGCCAGGGCCACACGCCGCTGGGGCGAGCCTCTGAGCGTGGCACACCTCCCCCTGCCAGCTCCCTTTGCCTGGTAGCTGTTTAATCCCATTATTTGTCATTACTTATTTATTAGAGATCTAATTTACCGTGTAAGAATACTGAGGCCAGGAGGGGTGAGACACCTCCTGAGCAAGATAGAGCCGCCAGGACAGATTCTGCTAAGGCAAGAGGGGCACGGTGCTCTGCAGCAGCACTGTGCCATGCCCTAATGCCCTGGACTACCCCGGGCAGGGCTGGCAAACACTAAAGCCTCAGGGCATGCTTCTTGCAGGGCTTAGCAAGGGCAGCAGATACCTGCAGTGCGGCCAAGGACACCACAGGGCCAGTGGCCCCAGCTGACTGTGCTCAAGGGGCCCCAGCCAGGGTTCCCCTGGGCTGAGCTGCGGGCGCCGGGAGCCATCGGAGAGTCACCTGCCCATCTGAGCAGGGATGTGCCTGGGCAGGTTTGGCTCCTGGCGGCTGTGCAGCTTGGCTGCCTTGCTGAGCTGGCCGACAACCTGTTTGGCATCTGTAGTGGGTTAACCGTGGCTGGCTGCCAGGTGCCCACCAAGCCGCTCTATCACTCCCCATCCTCAGCAGGACAGGTGGGGAGAAAATAAGATGGAAAAGAACTCATGGGTCAAGATAAAGACAGTTTAATAAAGCAAAAGCAAAAACCGCACATGAAAGCAAAGGAAAACAAAAGATTGATTCTCTACTTCCCATCAGCAGGCAATGTCCAGTCACTTCCCGGGAAGTAAGGCTTCCGTAGGTGTAGCGCTTGCTCTGGAAGTCAAACATCATAATAATGAATGCCCCCCACTCCTCCTCCTTTCTCTTAGCTTTTATTGCTGAGCAGATGTCATATGGTATGGAATACCTCTTTGGTCAATTTGGGTCAGCTGTCCTGGCTATGTCCCCTCCCAGGATCTTGCCCACCCCCACCCTACTGGCCTTTGGGGGTGAGGGGGTGGAATGCTGGAGATACAGCCTTGATGGTGTGGGAGCACTGCTCAGCAGTAGCCAAAACACTGGTGTGTTATCAACACCTTTCTAGCTACCAATACAAAGCACAGCACTAATGAGGGCTGCTAGGGGGAAAATTAACTCCATCTCAGCCAGAGCCAATACAGCATCTTGGGGAAAAATATATTTTATAAGTGAAAAGAGACCTCCGAGTTAACTAACTGTGGCTTGATGGGTTGCAAACAGCACCACAGCCACTGCCCCACGGCTCTGCCACCCTGGTGCAGTGACACAGCCTGGCGGCACAACCCAGCATGGCTTGCTTGGCCATGCAGCGGGGAGGGGAGCCTGGACCCTCTCCTGAGGAGGTCTGGCAGGGACAAGGGGATAATTAAATAGGAGGTGAATTGCAGAAGTGGGGTTCCCTGCTGACCCCCCAGAAGAGAGGAGCGGGAGGGAGGCAATGGGGAGCTGCTGGGAGGGCTGGTGCTTCCCACGGTGCCCAGGAACCCGAGCGCTGGGCTCAAGGGCGAGGGAGGAATGGGCTTATCTGGGCATGACCTCGCATTTGCAGGAAGCCTGCCGAGAGCTGGCATCGCCCCAGCACTGCAGGTGGGACAGGACCTTGCCTGCGGGCTGCGGGCACTGCCACCAGTTGCTGCAGGGGGATTTGTCTGGAGATGGGGACGTTGCCCAGGAACCATATGCTGGGCAAGAAGTGCCAGAGCAGTGGGGGCAGCACCAGGGCAGCGGGCCAGGGACTCTGCAGGGCACCGGGCTCCTGGAGCACGGGAGGTTTTACTCCCCTGGGCTCGGC